ATGCAAAAATATAAAATAAAAAGTGAAAGTCTGCCTCTCTCCCATGCCCAGAGGTAACCACTGTCAGTAGTGCCTCTGAGTCCTGTAGTCATCCTTTCTGAGGCTATGAGACTATATCATTCCGAAAGAGAGTCAGGAGGAGAGGTTCCCATAAACTAGCTCTCATTCCTCTTCTCTGAAAACCCCAATAATTCCTTCTCTGGCATGCAGAGTCCAAGATACACACAGCCATGAATAGGCTGTTCATCTCTCCCTGGGAGCCGGGGGGTGGAAGCTCAGACAGCACAACAATATTATGACTGCCCGGGGCATGAGGACAGTGAGCTGGGAGGTAGGAGGGCGTCTGCCAGGTGCTGAATGGGAAGGTTGTCTGAGCTGTGCCGAGACTCGCCCCTTTCTCATCACCCACAGTGTCCTCCCCTCAGCCCCTGGCCAGGAGTTAGGGAGTGTCTCGTCTCCTGTGCCGCCTCCTGCTGTCCCCAGGGGAGCCTGGTTCATGCCCATTCTTACCAGGTGGCCCCAGACTCCTCCCCTCCTTACCCACCTGGGAGCCTAAGGCGGAGTGTGTGGGGCCGGCTGGTGGAGCCCTCTGTTTGGATGGTCCTGTTATACAGACTCACACACAGAGCCCAGACATGGACTTGGGCTCTAGAAGAAACCCTGGTTTCATCTCACTGAACAAATGAAATGGAGCCAGGCACTGTCCCTTCAAGGGCCTCAATTTCCTCATCTACTCAATGGAATGAACAACAATGACTAACCCCACCGAGAGAAAAGTCATCCGTTCACTGTTGTCCTATCCTTATGGGGCTGGAAACACAGACTACGTCCTGTGCAGATCGGCCTTCCATAAATGAATGAGAGGTATTGTCACCCCTAGCTTACATCTAAATCAACAAACTAAGCTTCTTCCTCAGGCCTTGACATTCAGCCACCATCCACGTATGCAGCCAGCAGGCACCTAAACAAAGAAGGGCAGAGGTTATTTTTATGCGTACTCGTTCCCTGCTTCCTCACAGCAATGGTTTCTGAGTGAGATGGACTGTGTGAGCCAATGGGGAGGCCAAGCCCATTCTGGTTTTTGGGATAATTGTGGCAACAATCAGGCATTGATTTCCCCCCTTCGCTCTGCCCAGAGTGGCTTCCTCACCAGCCTAGGGTGGAGGGGATGGACTCATTGTCATGATCACTGCAGGCTTGCCTTCCTTCCTTCCTTCCTTCCTTCCTTCCTTCCTTCCTTCCTTCCTTCCTTCCTTCCTTCCTTCCTTCCTAATCCTCATAAGTATATTTTTCCTGTTGATTTTTTTAGAGAGAGTGGAAGGGAGGAAGAGGGGAGAAAGAGAGAGAAGAGAGAGATGCCTCCCCCCACCCCCCCAGGTCTGGGGATCAAACCTGAAACCCAGGCATGTGCCCTTGACTGGGAATGGAACCCAAGGCCTTTTGATGCCCAAGCTGATGCTCTAACCACCGGCCCGAGCCCCTCAGGCCTGGCTGAGAGGCCTACGGGGAACCTTCCCTTCAGCACCTCATGATTCACATTTCTTCAGAAACTTCACTTCATCTCAGGGAGGCTGCAGAAGGTGTCACCGGTGCTGTTGTCAACAGACAAGGGTGTGAAGCAAAACAGTTTTTGGTGGAGGGGCGAGGGGGATCAGAAGCCATCCCATAGTCTGCCCTTGAAGTAAGGAGATGAGGTGGTCAGCATCTTGAAATGTGAGTAAGAACCAAACCCTGAAATGTCCACTCTCCCCCTTCCTCCACCTCCACTCTGCACTAAGAACCCCACTGCTGGAGTTGCCCCATGTAGACCCTGTCCCTCACGTGGGAGCTCATTATTGTGGGCTTCTCCCACAACACCTGAGGGTAGAGCACTGTTCCCTTCCATCCGTGCCACTGCAAAACCCTCTCAGTTTTAGTTGATGCCAATCTCTGAGCTGGGGGAATAACAAAACACACAGGGAGGAAGTAACAAAGAAATCCAGAAGCCTTCCAGAGGCCATCCTCCTGGCCTACAGTTCCCGAGGCCTCACTCTCCTGTGCTCCTCACTCCTTCTGGGTCCAACCTTCTCCTCCCTCCCTCTGCTCAGCTGAAAGGTACTATTGGAGTGGAACGGTAAAAGCTGTATTCATTCTTTCGTCAGTATTTCCCTGTCCCCGGTGATGGGGACATTGTGGTGGTCAGTGTCCTCGCCCTTATGGTGCTTACCGCCAAGGGAAGGAAGACAGGGAACAAGCAAATTAACAGGTGAACCTGATCATTGGTCAGTGGCACGAGGATGACAAATAGGGGCTGTGATGAAGGGCGAGGGGAGGGACTTCTGGGGCAGTGACACCTGCATTAAAACCTGAGGGATGGGAAGGAGTCAGTCCTGCAGAGCAACAGGGGAAGAGCTGGCCGTGTGGGGTCAGGAGCCGCAATGCAAAGGCCCTGTGACTGGAAAGAGTTGGGTGCATTCCAGGAGTAGAGAGAAGACCCATGTGGCAGCAAAAAGCATGGGGGGTGGAGGGGAAGGGGGTGGGGTAATACAAATAGAGTTGAAGGGCAAACAGAGCCAGAAATCCCGGGGTCTAAGTTTATAGGATTGCGTTTGTTTGGAGAGTTCGTGCCAGGGATTTTAAGCGGTGCAGGGGATGTTCTGCTATTCACTTTGGGAAATCACCCTGGCAGAGTGTGAAAAATGTAGGTGCTTGGTCACAGTTTAGAAAACTATGCCCTGCCCTAGCTGGTTTGGCTCAGTGGATAGAGCATCAGCCTGCGGACTGAAGGGTCCCAGGTTCGATTCTGGTCAAGGGCACATGCTTTGGTTGCAGACTTGATCCCCATTGGGGGATGAGCAGGAGGCAGCCAATCAATGATTCTCATCATTGATGTTTCTGTCTCTTTCCATCTGCCTTCCTCTCTGAAATCAATAAAGATATATTAAAAAACAAACAACCAAACAATAACAACAAAAAAACATAACTGTGCCCTGATAGGTGCGTCACCTCATCTCAAATAGATTCACACGGCAGGGGAAATGAGGCCACCTGTGGGCTGCCAGGGCCTGGAGGTGTAGCCAGACCTGTCTCCCAACGTGTGTGGGGAAGCCATTCTTTCCAGTGTGAGGCGAGCAGGAAATAGGGAAGCGGGAGGAAAGTTCTGGAATAGAAGGAAACACTAGAAGGCAAGAAAAATGGGCGTAGCCAGTGAGGTTAGGAAAACCTTCAATTCACCTGGGCAGGGAGCTTAGAAACCTTGGAATCTCATTGCATGACAATTCTGAGATGGGCTTTCTATCCTCCCTCGCCCCCTGACCTAGCTTTCCTTCCCTGCTAAGTCTTACTGTTCATTGAACTGGAATTTCAGTTCATTCCTGAGGTGCTCAAGCCTTGGGAAGTTAAGTGCGATGGGTTCAGAATAAGACATTCAAAGAAGGTGTCAGTACTGGAGACCCCAGCGAAGTGTGGGCAGGAATCACCAGGCGGTTGTCCTGGCTGGCACGCCCTCCCTAACCCTAGGCTCTTGGCAACTGGAGGACCGACCAGCTCTTAGGATGCTAAATCTAGAGAATTTGTTCAGAAATGATACACGGAGTGTCCGGAGAGGCACCCCTGGCCCCCGCCACCTTTCCACAGGGTTTGGGGCATTTCCAAGCAGAGAGGGGCTGGATGGTTTCTAAAGGAAAGCATATAATATTCAAGGAGCCCAAAGATCACTTTCAGTCAGACCACTTGGCTCTCCTAACATTTCTGAGCTCATTCTCAGAGAACCCCTCTTCCTCAGCACCTAAGGCTCTGCTAAGAGGACTCACTCCCCGGCCTCACCTGGCAAAGCTACCGAGTCTGCATCCCAGGCTTCATTCCTCTCCACGCTCCCTGAACCCAGCTTGTCATTTCCTGGATGCCCCACCAGGGCCTTTCAGCCAATGGGTCCCAAACCAGCTCATCTTCCCCAGCCCTGGCTTTCCTGTTTCTGTTGATGGAATCACTGTTCCCTCTGCTACCCCGCTGGAGATGTCTGAGTCATCCTTGACTCATCCTTCTCATTCTCCAGATCAAACCAACTCCCGAATCACGTAGAATCTATTTCCGTGATGCCACTTGACTCTGTCCCCTCCTTCCGAGGGCCTCATCCCATTGGGCTGTCATTGCCTCCTTGGGGGCAGGCACATCCTCACTGATCCCTCACTTTCCCATCCCCACACTGCTGCTGGCATGGGTGCTCACACTGATCACACTGCTCTCTCACAGCGGCCAGGCATGGCTCCCTCTGCTCCCACATTAAATTGAAACCATCTTTGAGCTTTATAAGCCACAATTCCTTTTCTAATACTGTGTGTTCAAGTTAAATTTACTTATTCTTGGTGTAAAACATAATGGTTTATCTTTTCTTGTACTCCCTTATGTGATTTTGCAACAACAACAACAAAGATCTTCTATTACTAAATCCTATATTACCTGCATTTATAGGCTTGTTTTATCACCTTAGAAGATTCAGTGTTTCTGTATTATTAGTCTCACATCTGCTTATACTTCCTCTAATATTGGAGCACATGTATGTACCACACACTGCTCTCAGGACACCTGTATGAAATAATTTACTCTCACAGCAGTTCTGATTGTTTACCCATTTCCCCGATGACAAAACTGAGATGCAGAGATGTTGAGTAACTTGCTGAGGCCCCATATCTGACACGTGGCAGAGCCTGGATTTTACATCACATGGTCTGGTCCCAGAGCTCAAGCTGTTAGCCAGTGAATTCATATTTGTCTTTGTTACCTGCATTCCTGATGTTACAGTTGGGCTTTAGCTGACATTATATAGCTGAACTGAAGTTTAAGGTATGTGTCCATTATTGGCCTGAAATAGCAATGGAAGGCTAGTGTGTAAATATAATTTGTTAGCAGGAGCTGATTTAAGGTGTTTATTTAATGTGAAATCGCTCTAAAGTTAAGAGACATCTTTGTGCTGTTTTTTTTTCCTACCTGTTCTTTTTCTTTTCTTCTCTTTCTTATTCCAGTACATGGGCTGTATCGAAGTGCTGCAGTCCATGAGGTCACTGGACTTTGGAATGAGGACTCAAGTTACAAGGTAAGAGAACAAGAATGGGAGAGGCTCTGAGGACCATGTTTTATTTTTCACTTTATTATTTTTTTTAATAAGAGAAAGTGTATTTAGAAAGTCACAGAGGTAGAAAAATCAGCCAGCTACGTGGGGCTCAGGAAACAAGTTACAGAGAGGCAAAAGAAGAGGACAATTTTTGTTTGTTTGTTTGTTGTTTTAAAGAAGACCGTTTTTAAAGTCACAAGAGTTTCTCCCCACAGAAATGTCATGCAAGCCTTTAAAGTCCCCATGGGCTGTTAGTCACATGACTGGAAGGTGGAACACAGTCCAGTGACCTGGATAAGTCCCTTTATTCCATCGTGTGAAAGATTTCCCAGCTCTCTGGCAGAGCACCTGCATTGTATAGGAGAACTGGTAAGAGGATGCAGTCATAGAAATAGCTGGTTCCCCAGGTACCAACAGTGTTTAAAATTATGCCTCGACATAGGGCCTTACAGAATCTGAGACTGCTGAAGAAGTAGCTGAAAGAAGATGAGAACTCTTTCATCTTCCCAATTTGAAACTCTATATTCAGTAAACATAACTCCCCAGTCCCCATTCCCCACCCTGCCCTAGCCTCTGGCAGCCATCATCCCATTTCATGTCTGTGAATTTGAATGCTCTAGGCACTATATATACGTAGAATCATACAACGTTGGTCTTTTATTTGATAGCATAAAGCCCTCAATGTGTATCACTAGGCCAAACAATGTGACTACTTGGAAGGCTGCTGCTGGGTACTGCTAGATTGTTCTACAGAAGAACCACACTAGTTGGTGCTCCTTTCTCCCAGCCATATATCTGTCTTTTGTTAGGGTCTGTTTTATAAATCGTTGTAAACTTGTAAGTTTATATTTTCCCATTGTTTAATAAATGGTAAAAGACTATTTTTTTTTCTGTGCCATGAAGTTTCCAAAGGTGACTAATGTACAAGCCCAAGGAAGGTGTCTGTTGTGGTTTCTGGATAGTATTCCTTACAGATGTGTCTGTACGTGATTTGGGCATGGCCCACTATGCTCTGGGAAGATTTGCAAAAGCTCAAGGTTGGTGGGTTTGTTTAAGATCTGGTGGTGGGGAAGGCCTCTCTGAGGAGAAGTTATTTGAGCTCATCTCTGAATAAAGTGAGGGATCCAGCCATGAGAGCATCTGGGAGAAGAGAGCTCAGGCAGAGGGAAGGTGGCGTGTACACCATTGGTCCATAGTGTCAACCCTGATGAAGCCCAAAACCCAGGCAGATGGTCTGTCCGGTAAGAGTGTGAAAAAAGTGCATCTTCTTCCAAGCGTGGGTACCAAACAATGGCCAGTGGGCTCCGACTCAGGGGAGGGGGAGGCTGGATGGGAGGTTCAGGGGTCAGGATGCCCCTACGGTGTAAGTGGTCTGCCTTAAGTCAGGAGCCCCCAGCCACGCTAGCCCAGGTTGTCTGTGGCATGGCTTAAAAGCCATGAAGTTGATTTCCGTGCACCAGGGCTGAACATGTCTCCCTGCTTCAGAAGCCACCAAGGCTTCTAGGCCGCCCTCCCCAGCTCTCGAACCCATTCTCTGGAGCTTGTAGAGTTTGAGGTGCTGTGTCTTGTAGCTACCTGGGCTCAGCAGCAGTCCTGGGACCCCCCTGATCCAGATGGGAGCAGGAGAAAAGCCACCAAGGAAAGTGAGGTAGAAGACAAAGGAGAAGAGATTAAATAAGTATGTCCCACTTTCAGGAGTTAACCGAAATCGAAATCTACTGAACAGAACAGTTATCATGCAGAGTGTACCCCTGGATTGCTGTACGTAAGGAATTCCTTGCTGGTATTTCAAAGGAAATTCAATACAGGAAAGAAAGTGTTTCTACTTTTCCCCCTAGGACGGTGGTCGACAAACTTGTTAGTCAACAGAGCCAAATATCAATAGTAAACGATTGAAATTTCTTTTGAGAGCCAAATTTTTTAAACTTAAACTTCTTCTGACACCACTTCTTCAAAATAGACTTGCCCGGACCATCGTATTTTGTGGAAGAGCCACACCCAAGGGGCCAAAGAGCCACATGTGGCTCTCAAGCCGCAGTTTGCCGACCACTGCTCTTGGAGCTCACATATTGCTGAACAAGGGAGTGATCTTTGAAACTCTAGGTCCTATGGGACATCCTACAAGAGGATGTAGGCTTAGGTATCAGTGCACAGCCATAGGTCTCCCTGTATGTTCCCTGGGTGGGAACATTCTATTTGGGACCAGCATCATTTCTTTGATCTCCCTTGCACAATGCTGAAAAGTAATAATACAAAAATAAACTGTATTTTGTGTACTCACAATTGTAATCCTACTTTTGCCCCTCCCCACATATCCTAAGGGGCAAGGTGTATTGCTGGTGGGAGGGACCTCCAGATCACTGGCTTACTGCTCTGGCATCCTCCTGCATTTTGCACCTTATATTTGTAACTCCTATTTGGAAAAAAAAAAAAAAAAAGTAAAGAAAAGAAAAAAAAATCAGCCAGACAAAGTGCAAGGTACCTAGCACAGGATCTGCCCAGGACAGCTGAGAAGTTGAGGCTGGTGCTGGGCTCACCTCAATCTGTGACTGCCATCCCTGAGGGTAGGGGTACAGGGAAAGGAGGAGGGGGAGGAACAGGTCTGTGTAGGGAAACGGGAGTTGTTAGAGAATTGCAGGGCTGATGGTTGGCCAATGCTGTTTGCTCCGCCCAGGTGATTCCCTGAGACCCAGTCCCACCCAGTTTATAAGCCCATCCAAGCTGTGCACCAAGGCTTCTGCATATGAATGACTTGGCCTTTATCCACCTAAAAACCTGTCAACCTGAAACTGGGTTAGAGAGCCCCAGAGCCTCCAAAAGAAGGCCCAAGGCTGGACAGCAACTTGCATTACTTCACAGCTGGGCTTCATGGGACCCGAGGACCAGTGAACAATCCAATGAAGGGCAGGGTCTAGGCTTCCAAAGGCCTCTCCACAAGAGTACAGACTCCCCATCTCTGGTTTTCTCAGTTCTAAATGCCAAATATTAGGTAAACTGGTGATTGGGTTTAATCCTGGTCCAGTCATCTTTGGGCAGGACAGAGTTGCACTGTGGCAATATGGTAATTCCATAATAGTAATGTACTGGGAAGAGGAATGGCTGAAGGAGGAGGAGAGGAAAATGTAGGAGAGGAAAAAGACTTGTGAAATGGAGGTAGTAGTTGCAGTACAAAATGGACTTCTACCTCAAAGGGAAATGAAAGCATTAGATCAGTTTCTTTGGAGGAGAGAGAGAGAGACTACATGGATAGGTATTGTATATGTTTAGGCTCCTTTTCTAGGACTTAGAGCATTGTTTTTAATACTTTAGATATTTATAGAGGTTTGTAAAATGGTTATTATTTTTGCTCCACGGCAATCTGTTTACAGTATCTATATTTTATTTGCCAAAAAGCCCTAGGTTAGGAATGAAACTCCCAATTATAGTGTCTTTTCTTTTTTTTAAACTTTTAAAAAAATATATATTTTATTGATTTTTTACGGAGAGGAAGAGAGAGAGAGATAGAGAGCTAGAAACATCGATGAGAGAGAAACATCGACCAGCTGTCTCTTGCATACCCCCTACCGGGGATATGCCCGCAACCAATGTACATGCCCTTGACCGGAATTGAACCTGGGACCTTTCAGTCTGCAGGCCGACGCTCTACCACTGAGCCAAATCGGCTTCGGCTATAGTGTCTTTTCTATGGAAAATATGATCTACTTTATGGAGTGGTTTCTTAAAATATGTGATAGGTAAAAGTCAGGGCTTGTTTATTTATCATATCTATATATCTATGAATATATATAAACTTACAGATGTCTATATATTATCACACAAATACATATACTTACAAACACACATTCTCAAGTAGACTATATGCATACATTCACTGACCCAAGCGAGAACAGTTAAGTTACCTGTCATGTCCAATATGCATGGTAGTGAACTGGCCTCCAGTGTTTGAGGAGAAACAAATTAATTCAGTGCTTAAAATGCATGAATGCTAAAGCCTATGGGGAGACCACAGTATTTTTAGCTCTGGTTTTAGAGTGAAATGGCTTTTTTTCTGGTAATTCCCCCCACCCCCACCCCAGGCCTTCTTTACAACATGTAGAGCTAGATGAGAATGCATTCCCTTTTGTGGCTCTTTTTGGTTTGCTTTAGGAGTTACTACTAAATGTTTGTGGCACCCCAGCATTCTCAATTATACTTTGCAGATGTTCAACAGGAGCAAGAGAGTGAGTTTCTAATTTTTGTTTTGATCAACACTCTGGTCACCCGCGGTCTGAATCATTTAACAAGCAAGTAGAATAGGCCTTTGGAAGCATTGTTCTTGGAAACATCCCATACTGTAGTTGTATGGGAGCCTCTTGAGAAAACTCAGAGGGTACCCCAGAGTGGGTCTGGCCTAGAAGGAATTGGGTCAATTGCAGAGAGCGATACTTCAATGGAGCAATCATAAGGGCTCCATCATCTATCATCTTTAGGCCTGAAGTTTCTCTCTGATCCATGGGCCTAGTCTGGCAGTTTTCAGAGCTACAGTCCCTGGTGCGTGGTTGGATTAATAAATATTTATTAACAGGGTGGGATCAGGGCATCTCAGAGATTTTGAGATGACTTTGTAAGTCTTGAAGGCTCCCTGGTCACTGCTGGGGATCAGAAGAAATATACAGACAGTCTATACACATGGTCTCTGGTATCCTGAATGAGACTAGATTCTAGAATGAGGAGCTCTTAGACAAGTGGGTCAGGTCCCTGTTTCCATGATAGAATGCTGGCACATGGACACCATTTGTTATATTACTGAACAAAGAAATAAAAGTACATTCACTGAAGATATTCATTTTGGTTCAGAGAGCCTTGGGGTCCAATGAGTTGATTCAGATAAAAAGTAGAATTTCTCGCTGGGACCGGTTTGGCTCAATGGATAGAGCGTTGGCTTGGGGACTGAAGGGTCCCGGGTTCGATTCCGTAGACGTGAGCTGTCGTTTGTGAGAGCG